ACAACAAGGTTTAGATTGGAAAGCTCGAAAATGCACACAGAATTCGAAATTTTTAAACAGAGATTACCGGATTTTCTTGAAAAGAGTATCTATCACTAATTAGGTCATTCAGATTAGGTCCAACGAATAGTGTTTTTTAGACATCTGGCTCTTATGCCCTACTAGATACTAAAAATATAGATTGAAGAGACTGTTTTGAGGGTAGCGTGCTTGTGCAATACTTCGAAGAGTCTACATGTAGCAAAATCGCTTTAGTCCCAGAGGGACAGTTGTTCTTGAAGTTGAAGAAGAATAATACGAGTTAGCGGTTTAGACCCTCAATGAAAAAAGTATTTGTTAGTTACATTGAGTAAAAGCGTCCACAAAGCCCGTTTTGCCAATGTATCTGTTTCGATTTGGACGCAACCTATAAACGAGCAAGATCAGTTTTAACCCCACTCACATCATGTGTATTTAAGAGAATCATATATAGTTGTCACTAGCCCTAAGTAATTTACTTTTGCTCACTATGTTTAAAATAGGATAGTATAACAACGACAATCAGATGTGGGTGGCCAACATGGCCGCCTGTAAGACTAACTTTTATATTGATATCACAGTGTTGTAGCTCCCATTAATTTATTTAGAAAAGTTAGAACTTATCATTGTAATCGTGCTTGATATTTTTACAACTACTCTTACTATCATCATTATCAATTCAGTTATCCCTGCGTTCGTTAGCGCGCTACCAGATGGCGCTTGTATACGCTGTATGTATAAGATTAAGAGTAGTTGGAAACGGCAGTAGCACGAGCTTCGCAGGCTAGGGCGATATGGATACTACTACTCGTCTTTTTCCTGTACGGTGGCTCCTTCACCGTCCACATCGTATCGCATAGTTCTTAACATCAGCGTTCTCTTTGAAAGCATTTTGATGATTTCTCGGACCACGACAGCCATGGTGCTGACGACGAAAAGAGAGAATCAGAAGCGGTTCAGCGCAGCAGAGCTTCTAAAGCTGAATCTACTGCTTCACAGCAGTAGTTCAGTGGCAGTCGGCCTCATCAGAACTCTACTGTCGTTGTCAGCCAAAGGATGGGAGGCAGGGGGGCTATGCGCTGGCAATTACCGATCTTTCCTGTGCTAAAGCTGCCTCGGAGCTGCCACATAGGACAGCACACCACCGCAAGAAGAAGTGAAATACGAATTGTAGAAAGGCCCAAACGGTCCAGAAGCGGCACTGGATAGATTGACGGTCGGCAGTTGGCTAGATGGTCCTCTCCTCGGGCTTCTTGTTGCGTCGGTCTCACTACTGTTCACTGACGACAACTCGCTTCGCTTGAACCCGCGTTCACCTCGATCGGAGATCGAGTTGCTCATTGCTGGGATGTTAGACTGGGATTCTTGCTGAGCTGTCGTAACACTCGCTCTCTCATCACTAGCAGAACTTAAAACCCAGCGAAGATACAGTAAAATTCACGAATCTCATTTTTCGAGAGCTCGTAGCTTTCGCCGCTTGTGGCAGTCATTGCTGACGCTACGTTCACCCCATTGGATTCCTCAAATATACTCCCATCTCTTCAGAGAGAATCTAGGCTGGGCGATGCCCAATCGAAGCCGATAAAGCCAGCACATGTGGGAAGTTAAAGATGGATTCCTTCGTAGGGGCTTTATGCACAAATAATGCAAAGATTCAGAAACCCTTTACTTTGGTTCACGAGAGAAATAGCCAATCCACACTTATCGTATATTGGGACTTCAACTTCAAAACTGAATAGAATAAACGTATACATTCACGCAAGGAATGGGTGCGCACAAGAAAAGGCCTTAGCTTCGCTAGTTTTTCGAAAAAAGAACACTCGTTTGACTATACATTCAAACAGGCATATTGCTTTGTAGCAAATAAACAGTGCAAAAATTATATTAAAACCTTCTGAAAACTTTGCCAATGAAAATACTATAAATCAAAAATGGCAACTTAAGTGCTCGAGTTTTCATGCTGCTGTTTTTGGTAGGTTGCTCCACGCTTTAGGAAAGATATCTGGCCTAAATTATACATATTCAATAATTTTTCTTTTGCTCCATAAATATCACTTTCTAACCGAAAGCTTACAGATTTTCTTCCCAAATATGGCAAGTCGTTATTCTTGAATGAAAACACTGTTGTTACGCATATTAGTATCATTGGTTACATTTAGTATGCATTCACTGGGCAGCATAGAATTCATCAACAACTGTTTTGTCGGCCTACTTCTTTGCTCTTGTTAACCATTCTCGTCTGAATTGTGGTACCCCTTTTTTCCGTTTTCCGAAAACTATTTTTACATGTTTATAATGTATACATACATATTATATCAAAGAAGCCCTCCGGGTGCGTAGGCGATATTTTACTATAAATCATTCCAATTTGAGTATTGAAAGACAAAATTAATTGTTTTCTTCTTTTACTATCCACGAAAGCCAAGGTAGCCGTTAAAAGACAGCACTCTTTATCCACTAATTTCGGACAGAATATATATTATTATTGTTATTATTCCTTTTTCATAACTCTCAGGTTCACTCCATATCGAAATATATCTGAACAATATGCTGCGGCGCAACACAGCAAAAGGTCCCATTTGTGCTTTTAAAATATGGGCCGTAAGGTCGGGATAAAATGGCGCCGATGGTTCTGACCAATTTCCATCAAATGCTACAAAAATTTAATATTACTGATACAACCCAAAGAAATTACCTATCGGATTGCAGTGGCGGTAAGCATATCGTATCGATCATCCTGCCCTTAAAGAGGTCAACTAAATACAATACCAGATAATTCCAACTCCTATTAATCAAAACTCAGTTCCCGTGCGCAAAATTAATTACTTCTTAGTCTCCTTGGTGCCGATCGGTTATTGGTAAACACGGACTTGCAAAAAATTATGGTCTATCTCTTGGAGGTAAATACTATAAGTCCGCTGCCAACGCCTACAGTAGATGTAGAAGCTCTGCAAGGTCTACCACCAATCACTCCGGGGCTGGTTTAGCCAAAGACTCCTCTGTCGCCCTGTTTGTTTAAAGCTCACTGTTTTTTCATACATTAGTAGACCGTCACAAGCGACATTAGATTGTACAACTAAATAAGCAGAAACATGAAAAGAACTGAGGGCTCCTTCAGTCTGCACGTGCTCTTAGTGCTGCTGCTAGTAATTGCCAAGTTCGTGAAGGATGTGTCAGATACTTCGCGTGAGCTCTATAGAATTCTTTAGGTTAGCTGTGAGTAGGTAAGAAAGTTAGGCTGATTCGTGTGCCCTTTTTCACTCTCTCTCTCCTTCTCGGTCCGAATCTGTTCCTCCTTCACCTTCATTTCCTGAATTGCTGGAGGCTTTTTTTGGCTGCGCCTTGGCCGTGGTGGATGACATTGACAGCGCCCAATCGATTCACAATGTTTGCAAGACGCGAGGGCCGTCAGGGCCAGCCAGGTGTTTCTTACATCTGCCAAGTCATTCCGTTCTTGACCGTGACTGCCTACGCTATTTTTGCACAGCTTTGATCAACTTGTATAGATGGATCACGACTACTAAGCTATGTTATAACCATTTGCAGCAGAGTCTGTAAAAAAGAACCAGTTGCGCAATTGCATTCCAGCACGTGAATGTCCTTGTTCATTTTTTTCAGTTTTGTCAAAATAATTGAAGCCTTCGTGGAAACTACTTATGTTGAACTATATATTATACTGTTAAACAAGTGATGATTGAAATATAGTGCTCTGTTCGAATATTATTGATTACCCGCAAGTTAGAATCTTTTGTAGATCATGTTCAAAAACTGATTTCAGTGTTGGGAGGGTAGTTGGGTTCAGTAACTGCGATTTAAACTACGTGTAAGCACCAGTATATGATGGGCTGCCATGAGTGTTGATACTTAAAACGCGAAATATAGAATGCGAATCATTATATCTCCCTTCTCGTCTTAATAAACTTGAAAGTAACTTCAATCTAATAACTAACTTATGCCTGCTGTTTCAATTCGTACACTTTTTTTTCGACAAAAAAAGGCTTTGCAAATACCATTACTAACTAGTCTGTTGACCAACTGTGCTTTAAAAAAAAATTAGTTGGTAGTCGATGTTTGACTTTACAACAACCGCACTAAATATAATAGCAACACCTAAAAACTAGAAACTTCGGGACCTCATTAATATACGCTTAATTAAAATTGCGCCCGTTATTGAACGGATTTTAAAGAAGATCGAGGCATAAAATTCTTATGAAAGATACGCGACAAAATGATAGACAAAATGCAGTACATTACATGTACCACACATATACCCGTTTACAGGATCAATTTGCATTGGTCCTATGGCATTTACTATAGAATCACACGGTCACATTGAAAATAATCGGGGAACTCTAGTGGACTGTTCATAACTAATCTTTCAATTAAGCAGATCTTCGAGGTCTAATGACCTTTTCTCAAAATAGGCATCTATGGCGTACCTGAGTAGGATTTGGAGGTACAGCAACATGATGATGAATAGCAATACCGGGACTATTGTCCTCTTGCAGAACATACAGATTTGATGAAAGCTTTTTTTTTTTCATAATACTTCAGCGCTGGCCGCATGAAAATGTCTTGATCAATTCTTGTTCGGTTTTTAATGAGAGTGAAGCGGCAGCATTGAAATTCACGAACATATCAACTGCGCATATATTGAAAATAAAAACGTCTTCTAACTATAAGTACTAACTTAGCTTGAATCTACAAAAGTTAAAAATTCTATGCCGTACCCCTGATACGTGCAATAAAGCTGGGACCGTATACAAATTATATCTTTAACGAAGTAAGAAGGAACAATAATTGTCGTCTACAATCAACTCTGATCATGTATGTAGAAGACAAGACTACTTGAATGATGATAGAAAACAAACTGCCCTTTTGTCACCAATTGTTAACTCTTATAACAAACATTTCAACTACATTTTAGCTGAACTTCAAGAGGAAAGTATATGCAACAAATCTACACCGCCATATCTCCTTACCATACTACTCCAAACGCGCCATATCCTATGGGACGCTCAGGTTGCTGAGATAATTGTTGCTGTTGAGTAGAACTGGTACTGCTGGAGTTGCTTGAGTTCGTGTTGCTTCCACTGGTAGAATTCGAAACCCCTGTGGGCTGTCCTGTGTGGGCAGGAACTGCAGACGTAACAATATTTTCTGAAGGTGGTAAAAGGTTGCCATTTGAAACACATGACGTTTCCCCCACGGATGGATGGTGATACTGTTGCTGAAGATGTTTCTGATGGTCGGACTGTTGCGCCGACTGTTGTGATAAAACTGGCTGTTGCTGGTAGAATTGCTGATGCTGAGACGCCGTCAGAATCGCCGCGGTAGCGGCGTTTAAAGCCGCTTGCGAGCTACCCACAGCAAACATGTTTGCTGTAAACGCACGAGAGACTTGCCGTGCAATTTTAAGGTTAACAACGGCAGCACCACTATTTTGTGATGATGACAATATGCAATTTAGAGATCTACACCAAATTCGAACCTATTAAAAACTGTTCGGGCGCGGTTTAAGTTAGAATGATAGGAACATTTGGCCCACTGAAGTTAGCACGGTCATGATTCCCTCGAACGCCAGCTGCGATGATGCGGGGCTAGCACTTCCTTCAATAGAAAAAAAGCTACACTGTCGAGATGGTGATATTGACTTTCACAGTCTGAAGTAATCGTAAGGCCAAGATATATTCATATAGGTATGCATGTAGACGAATAATGACGATGATTATATGGGAAAGAGTCACCGTTATATTAGTATTAGTAGAAGTCGTTGAAATATGTAAGGAGGCTCTTTAGTTGGTGGCATCGAATTGCCCTTTTACCGTGGCCCGTGCGCGTCTATAAGTAGTACCTCAGTCAGTCAGCAAACAAACTTTATTATAGAAGGCTCATTACACAAAGTAGAAATCCGTCCTTGTACACCATTATTCGCACTAACAGAAACAACCACTCGACGACGTTAGACAAACGGCACAACTAATGCCAGTCAAACTAATGACTATCCACAACCTATTCAAGGCAGTAAGGTAACCCCACAGTTTACGGCAGGCAGGCGCTCAAACGGCTAGCGATCAAATTCGGCGAGGAAACTGGGGGCAGTCGGCCTAATCTGTGGAGAACGGTACTGTTGCTGCTGTTGTATGAGTATTCTTCGCTCTTTTGCAGAAGTATAGCAGCAGCAGCAACAGCAAAGAAGATCAGCTCTCGACTCTCACGCCGGCGACCAGCAGATACGCTGCACACAGAGACGCAGCGACGAACTGTGGTGGAACAAGAAGACACTGCGGATCCTATAGCCGACTGCTGCTCGTTCGGCTGCTTTCCACCATTTCTTCATGCACTCTAGTAGAAGTAACAGCAGTACTATCACTTCGCTACGAATGACTGTGGCGGACTCGCTCAAAAGCGGTCCTCAGTTGTGGTCGTGCACGCGCCTCGTCCTTCCGCTGGTTAGCACCACGAGCAGTAACTAACATCAGGCCAATACGTACAACACAATCACTACTGAACGCTGCTATAACTACTCCTTGTGATACATGCTTAGACTTCTACTGTTGTCGGCCGACATCACGAATAGTACAAGGGACGACAGCAGCGGCGCCCGTGGCGCCAGTAGCGGGACACTCACCCAGCACTCGGCAATGCGAGCGCCCCCATTCCGCTGTGTTTTGCACGAAAGCGCCATCTGGCTGTGGCGTTTGAAAGCTTCCACCGCGCGGTAAATTCAATTAACTTATGATTGCTAGGGGGTGTGGTGATCTCCCGATGATAACGATTTCGTTTCTTGATTCATATCAAGAAAAGGCAATATTTGTATATATTCCGTCAATAATTTCTCTGTAGATGGAGAGCTAATATGATAATTGAAAACAAGGGTCGGAGACTACTTGACTGAAGCTATCTTTTTATTTCTTCTTTTTCATTTCACCACCATTAAAATTTGATAAATGAACTAAATTCCCATTTCGTTGTTGCAGGCTGAATGACTATAGTAAATCCTAACAGTTGAATAAGGGTTTATCTCCTGAAAGCTGATTTCTCTAACAAAATAATAATCTTAAAATACTAGCACCCATTTCGCTGCCTATGGAAAAAAAATTGCTCCCATAGGTCGCAGTGAAGCAAATGACAGTATTAAGACAAAGGAAGTTGCACGGTTTGTATGAATATAAAAGTTGGAGGTTTTTTGTTTGGCATTGGGGACGACGCAGTGAAAACGGGACCTAGGACCACTGTCGCAAACTGGGTTTGAATAAATAGGCTGCTAAAAATAGGGAGTGATTTTGGATTTCACAAAAAATGAGTCACTGCGAGAACGACTGGAAAGTAATTGTAACCAGTACAATGGAATGCCTAATGGCAGTACTAGACGTAAAGATCGAAACGTAGAAGTAGTACAACAATAAGATACGGTTTGTTTCGCAGTTCTGCAAGTATAGTTCGCGAGTATAGTTCAATTGAGATCACTGCAAAGCTGCAAAGGTTATAGATGAAAGTTTAATTTCTACCATTAATAAGGACTAGGTAACACTTCAGTAAGCTAAAAGTTTCTCATGAAGCAAGTTCAAGAGGTATATTTGTACTAAAGCCTGTATCTAGCGGTAGCTTTCAAAATGCAACAACAGAATTATTGACAAAATGACAAATAGATACTGCAGTACATGAAGATTAAAATATAGGTGTTTTCAACAAAAGAGGGCATATATGGCGGTAATCATAACAGTGAAGAAGAGATAACAATGGAGAACTGTCGGTAGTAAAATGCTACTATCAGCTGATAATGAAAATCGATTTGTAGTGGAAAACATTCCAAATTATATTACAAAACAAATGCGTTTCATATTTTATCTTAGTAAGGATATCTACCATATTTTCTAGCTACAGGCAGGAGAAATCATGAAAATGATAAAACGACACATTAGTTTATCTTGTTAGGCTTGAGAATAAATTGTGCGTTCACGCGTTTTTAAGACTGGGGCCGCAAAATATTAAATGTGGATGCTTCATGTGTATGTAGTAGGAACATTATAGAGAGAGATAATGATGTAGAAAGCTAAGCGGCTAGTCAATTTTAGTGCACTAAAAGCTATCATAAAGCTGGCTTTATTTAACTTAGCTACCTACCTGCTTTTACTTTACAATAAAAACACGTTTGCAATAACTAAAATAAGATGTTCTTATATTCCGGAATTTTTCATGGACTGGTCGCTCATTCCACAGAAGCAGGTTCAACCAACGAATTATTGTCTTCTACTACCAACGCAGTCAGTGCATTGTCAACCGATTAACGATCCATTCTGCGTGCCAGCGGTCTTTTTAGTACATACTTAGAGCTTTTTGATAAACACTGAACAGCATTTGAAGAAATTAATTTATTTTGCATAAGTTTGTTGCCTATCCGCTTCCGTAGCATTCGCAACCCTGTTTGTATTTGCATCGTTTACAGGCCTCCTGTTGGTCCATCTTTATTCCCCCGGCTATCTTGTTCCTTTCGAATATCCTGCAATAGATTATGACGTGTTTGTTCATTAAGTTTTTGCCTGCGAGGTCAAAACTTAAACTTTGATCACGCCCCATGGCCTAGTAAATTAGTACCACAAGAAGTAATAACTAATAGCTACTACCTTAAGGTGTTTCTCGACAATGTTTCGTATGTGCGCAACTGATTGGTGCTCCGCTGAATGCGCTTCGTTGGAGGGAACACAGTTTTCCGGCCGATATGGCGGTTGGATGCGCACCGAGTTCATCACGAGTATGTCTTTCTCATGCCACGTTACTTCTTCGATTCTATCGAAAATTAAATAAACATAACAAATCATATTATAATGGTTTTCACCGGAACGTTTTCAGTAAAAACTCGAGTAAGCAACATCAATTGCTAGATCTTTCACCCCCTCACCAAAAATAATTAGACTATGCGTTATCCATTTTGCAGTTTCTTAGATCAGAACAGAAGAAGTAATTCGTTAGCGTAGGCACTTGTTATTTTCAATGGTGGCCTTTAATTCATTTATCAAAAGCTTAAACAGACCTGCCACACATTGCCGCAACAAGCACCTCTGGACACCATGTCAGCGGTAACTGGATCTATACATCGAATCGAGCGGATGTGCGGATTCGGGCACGCAAATAACGTAAGTTAGACTCTGCTCGACAATTTGCCTTGTTACCATCTGAGCCACCGTCGGTAACTACAACACCAAAATCGCTCCGTTTGTTTGCGTAAGTATCAAGTTATTCTTACGTTTTTCGAATGGCAAGGAAAAGACTTAAGCCGTCGTAGGAGACACCCTTTGCGATTGCCAACGCCATCTTTCGGCGTTCATCCACATGCTTCATCATACGTGATTTTACCTAAAATTCACATGACACAATAGGAAGATTACACAGTAAATTGGCATATAAACAAAAGCACGATTGGGCAGTAGTCCTTATATCGATACATATCACTTAAACACCACAACGCTGTTAAATATATTCAGTCTAATCGGCAAGCATAACCCGCACCAGCTTATTTCAATTTTTTAGCAACCTTTAGATATATTTTGCTCCGTTCCTAAGCAACGATGACATTTGAATTTATTAATACTTAAGAAAAAGTAAAAAACAAGACCATGGCTAGGTCTGTCCTTTGTGTAGATGCAGCGAGTAGGCGTAATGGTAACCTAATTCAACAAATATATGATGGATTTAGTTAGAGGAAAAATAAGAAAAAACAAACTGCTTGGCTAGATGCAGGCCGTCCAGTAATGGCTATCGCTGGCTTAATTAGATACGTTAACTTAAATTTACCTTTTCGATGTTAACCTGTGCTGGAGGAAGGGGAGCGCTATTGTGTGCAGGAGCTTCCCTTTCGATGTTCATCTTACTCACATAAAGCATGTTTACCAAACGCACGTCCGTTGTTTTTCGCTGATTATCGCCTCCTGAGCTACTTTCTGCAGTACAGTGCAAACAAATTGACTTAAATTAAGACCAAAATGAAGCTCAATAGCAGCGGAGTTGCGGGTGGGTAAAGAATATTTTAGTAAAAGATAATCTGTTAGTTGGGATTGTAAATAAGTTCTTGTCTTTTTAATCGCTCCGAGTAATCATCCGAGGTAAAAAGTTACAGTAAGTACGAGATAGAAATCATGTTCGTTATCTTTCTTTTTTTTCATGTGTTTCATTGCCTTTGGCAATTTTTCAAGATGCCATCTTTGAGGATCATCGCTCGCATCAATATTGAGCATTCCCCTCACCTATAGAATTATTACCGCACACGGTCTAAATATCCCACCCATAGGCGAAAATAAAATATGGAAAATGTTTATTTGCTTCGTGAAACATCCTGCTGGAAGCCTAAAAATAAAATTCCAACCTGTTAAAAGAATCGCACAAGAAAGAGACATGCTTTTAGGTGCTGCACGGAAGTAAACAAACCATGAAGGATCAGAGTAATGTCTCAGCAAGAACTTAGACATACCTAACCTTTAGTGTTTCCTACATTCTTTTGCCTACAAGAAGACGGATAAAAATGAGTCTCTCATAAACGTTGCATTTAAGTTAGATTATTATTGTAAATTGTATATACCAGTGTGGTTACGTAACAATAATCCGGTATGCAAAAAATCAACTTACTCAGTAACAGTGCCTTGTGTTTGTCATCAAATGCGATTACTTCACCGTTAAATCGTTCGTTGAAGGGGCTTTCGATAGACACAACGCATCCTAGCTGAAACACCTTTAATATTCTAATAGTTGTTATTTTCAATACAACTTTGCAAATAAATTACCACTCAAAAATGTTTCGCCAAGCAAAACATTTCCAAGCGCTGCGCCTCAGCTCACTCTTGACTCAACTCGCTCGAACGCTCCGAGCACGTAGCTTAAAACCTATTGGAGGCTTTAGACGACACATCATATTGCAGACAAATACAACAAGTCGTTAATGCAGATCTGGAGGTATACTTGTTAGCCCAAATGGAACGTTACGCATTGCGACTTAATGCTCAGTGAAGTGACAAGCAGGGAAATTGCTAAAGGCCGATCCGAGCTATCCAAACAAAGAGTTGTTACTAACCTAAAACGAGGTAAACCGAACAGAAAAATTTATTTGCTAACCTCGGGCACAACCTCAGGAAGACCCATTGCGCTATTACTGCTGCTGTTGTTGCTGCTGCTACTACTGCTGCTGGTGCTGCCTCCTACGTCTACACTTGAAACTGCCGCCGCTGCCGCTGCTGGTATTGCCGTCGCCGCCGCTGCCCCCGTTGCTGTTGTGGCCCTGTTGTTGTTATCACCGCATGAACCACAGGAAGCACCGGACATCGCTGGTAATGGAACCCCAGACCAAAGCATCAATACAATCAGAAACTTAGACCATGGACTCAGATACGTTAGAAACCACGTAATCGAATTTCATGTCTCAATATTCAGTGCACTGATGCACAATTACATACCTTTGTCTATAACGGTACCTAATGTTGTCAAATTGCTCTATGACATGGACTGTATATGGGAACTCACTGATGCTTTGGAGTTCCGAAAACGAATATTGGTAATCACACATTAACGAAAGCGTATCTTTTCTTTAAAGGGATAAAACTAATGTAAAGATATATGGAATTAATATAAGATTATTCAAGAAAGCCGTTTTTATTTTTAATTTTACATATATGTCACTCATCGTCAATTATTATGCTGGCCACTTATATGTAAAGTCTTTCGCACATTGTATCGTAAATCCAATATAAAGGAACGTCCAGCAGATGCTACCTTGCCAACCACAAAACGTAAAATTTCAATTCGCATCTATACACGAGTGTTGATGGCCCTGTTTCTCCAGTGTTTGTTACGAGCTACCGAAGACAAGTTCCATATGAGAAAATCCACTGATCGAATAAATGAGATTATAGGAACGTTACAGCACTTAGAGTTTAGCTAATATTACCAAGAGAACTGAAGAGTTCTATAGAGAATTCGTCAAAAGATTGCAATGCGGGGAGTTGGTAATCAGCATTACTTTCCTTTTGGATACAATAAAATAAAGTAACTGCAGGGCATTTTGTGTTATATATTCATTAAGCTGCTAGACAAACGAGGAATAATAATCTATGAAACTTGTTGGTAACCGGAAAAAATGACTTGTTTAAGAATTTTATCTTAAAACTGCAGCGGTAGAAATAGTTCGCTGTACCTTGTATTCCGCGAAAGGTCTATTACTAAAAGCACGAGCCGCTGATTTAAAAAAATCCCGAAAAGATCATTTCTAACCACGAGAATGAGTCTCATGGAAGATTCAACGGGAGGACGAATAAAGGACCACTAGAATAGACTGCGTTGAAGACGGACCATATTGGTGTTCAAATTTAGTGTGCATATAAAATAACTTACTTGTTTGCCTCTGTCAAATTAATAAAGTAATAAACTGAACTGATCCACGTTATATGATTTGTGTGGGATCAAAAAGCAACGTAAAGATATTTGATTTTTTTTTAATAATGATCCATCCTTGCATTGAATTTGTATGATTTGTGGTAAAGTGGTCTTCTGCGGTAATCGCAGACAGTGACATCAGTAGGAGGGCGCAATTAAAACGGCGAAAGATCACCCCAAAGCAAATGTATCGCTGCGTCAACTTATGACGTCTAAGGGGTATGTGTAGCCGCTGCCCACTACAGCTCGATAAATCCTGCTTTGTCTATTACGACTAAAATATGCTTTCAACAGTGTAAGAAGATTATAAATAAATCATTCGCTAAACACCTAATATTATTAAACAGAACTAACTCGCTCTTATTGCTTGTGGCTCTAAAAAAAAACTGAATTTGCTATTTAACGTTTTACAGTTAAAACCTAGTATATTTACTCGCTACGGTCACCCTCAGATTTTCTATTTTACTTGTAATTATACACATCGTAGCTGTTTCTAGTTACATCCGCCGTAGATTTTAGGATGACTTTTTTTTATCCATGCTGCTTCTACTGAAGACGATTATTAATATTTTCGTAAAAATCATAAAAAATAGCTTTCATCTGTGTGCATTAAAGCTTTCTAGATGGCAGTTCCTGATGTGAAGATGAACTTCCCGATAATTTCATTGCTGCAAAACATTCTGACATCACTACGCTCGAAGCCGAGCGAAGCGGATGCATCATTTCATGCGATTCTCTGACCTGAAAGCGGTGCTTTCTTCTCGAAAAGGAGTGGCGAAATCAGTGCGGTAAAATGTTTTGTAAATCAGGTCGACTCTAAAAAAATACTGACAATCTTAGTATACAACACAAGAAGCTTGCACGATACACAGAGATTGGCAGAGCTTGACTGAAAGCTTTTCTACCTTTGTTAATAATGATAGACAATCATTTCGTAGACTTACTGATAAGCAAACATGATTATTAGGAAATATAATAACTAATATAATCTGAGAATATAAAGCTACTGTACCACTATAACTGATGAAGACAAAAAAGAGAAAAGACTTGTCTACGCAAACTTATTTGACGAGTCTACATAAATAAGGAATGACTAACAAAACCGAGAGAGCTGGTCAGCGTTGTTTCAGTATTGAATAAAATCCTGATCTTGGCGGCCTCGCTTCTGAAAGACGACCCAAAACGGCTTTGTTTCTGGGCTCTGAAGGTAGAGCGTGCAACAACAGCATAAATACCTTCAATACTGGCTATTTAACTAATACACTTTTCATTATTCAGGCCTTGCATTATTTGTTCAGCTGTGTCACTTCGTAAATTATTCGTGAACCTACTAGAAAGGTTTAGGTCCTGTGCACGAAGAGCTGCAAATGGCATAGTATATCGATCGAATACATGTTGTACATAGGCCTGCAAATTATAAAACGAACCATTCATATTTTAATGGCCGCTGCGAATGAGTCGTAAAATCGATGTCAACCTACAAACTAACAGAGCAAAGAATGGGGGGAGGGGAGGTACTTGAGTGACTTACAAATTTACTATAAGAGAAAGGTGCAGCCTCAAATAGAAAACAGAAAAGAAATGCGGAGTTGGATGATAGAGATATATAACGGCATTTTGGTTTGAGAGGCAAATGCGAGAAGCACAAAACTGGATTCAGGCTTCTACCATTCTGGTATTTGTGTCGGAGATGTAGAATTGAAGATATGACAGAACAAGAAAATAACTGCAAACAGGGAAAACTTATTGGTCAGAGATTTATATCTAATTAGTAAAATCTACCCAAACTGCAAAAACAGACAGCTGGATGAAGTCGAAATGAAACCGGCTGAATGTTGAACGAACTGAACACGCTGGTCATCATGCACGCATGCTTCCTGTCTGCCCTCTTCTCTCGCAGCTGCCACTTTTGCCCCATTACATCATCATCATCATTATCATCTGTCTCCACAAGACAGGCAAAAGACAGAAAAAATTACTCCAAGCACTGCTACCACTTACCCACTGGTCCGCTCGACGTGAAGGCGCCGACCCGGCTTGATCTTACCGAGTCTAATCCTGCTCTGTTTGATGCTTATTTCAGCGGAAATTCAAGATACACAACAACACAATGGGACACTGCCAGTGGCCGACGTCAACCGTTCCGGTAGCCGTTTGTTCTACGGCCGTTACCCTGGCTTCTTTTTTGTGTTGGCGGATACTGCTAAATGGTGTCCGTCTCGCCTGCTACTACTGACTTCAATCAGTCAGCCTGATCCAGGAGCAGCCGTTTCGAGTCAACAAAAGGGACTCAACAACATCGTCAGCGCCGCCGTCACTCCACTATCAACAACACAGCAGACCAAAATACAACAGGATAGCAATAGGATGAACGTATTGTCGAAGCATTGTGTCACAACATTCCCTCAGTATTAATGACAGGCGACTCGACCAAGCCAGGAGAGACGGTTTGGTTTCATGCTTAGTGATACCTGTATGCCTTGACTAATAGCCAAATGTTCATATGCAAAATTGTTTCTTCCTTTCTTTTTCTATTTTTTCTAATTGGCACCCTTAGTAATTATTTCGGTACAATCCTTGTGATCACCCTTATTTAGGTATAGTCTATCTGAAATGATTTTTTCTGACTTATCTGGGGATTTCTCGGGAGTACCTACGAAACGGCCTGACAACCATATAAATAATTATTAACCTTGCTAATATATTATTATTTTCTCATTATTATTTATTTTTATTTAATTATTTACCTACCTGGTTATTAATTTTTTAGTAATAGTCTTTGCCAACGCTAAGAAATTAACAAAATTCGAAATTAGTTATTTCAGATTTTACGGACGAGTGGCTACAACGGCTTCGTGTGCAATATCACATATAAAAAAAATAACAATTGATAAAAAATAAGAGATATTGACCAATCATTACTGTAAGGCATAACTCTCCAAATGCCCGTGTTTATTAATCTGTTTATGAATTTGCCCATATTTTTTTAGAGAGTCAAGCCGTTCGTGATGAATCCATTTTATCGGGACAGTCAACTATGACTCTGCGTTTCTATCATATTTCAAAAAAAATTCAAAAGGCAGCAAAACGATATTTTACGAAACAATACATTATCAGAGCCACGAGACAGGTCTGCGACAGTGGGCTCTGATTCTGAATACGTTGAATTCATCTTAGCCAAAGATAATAAAATTAAATAAAAAGTCGAAAAATAATCCAAGAAAAGATCGGAAGTGATTTCTGCTGCTTATTTGAAAAAGGCCTCTTGAGGTATGATATTACTGCAATATGAATGGAACTACAGTGAGAGTCTTCAAGCCTCAATCTAGATGCAGAAATCAGAAACAAAAAAGTATTGCACATCACGTGCACGGTGCTCTAGAAGGGCCTTACTTTCTAATCGAGCCGTATTGAATTCAAGTAAGAACCTAGAGTTGCACCTTAAACGGCACACATAACTACCACAAAGGCGACGGTTCATGCGATCGCCCGCGCTTATCCTCCATCCACTCGCAGTCTTTCGTGAAGTTAGTGTTTTGCCGTTTAAACGCTTGACGTTGTCGTTGTTTTTGTTTCGTGCGATCTATGAGCGTGTGCTGCTTATCGTCGTATCACGATGTATTTCTTCCTCTTTCTCACGTTTGTTGTCTGCTACTGATGGGTGAGAGCATCTGACGGAGTCTGCTATTGGTTTTAGTTCGCCTTTCAGCATTTCCATCCGCGCGTCTGTGTCTTATGTTTAGTGTGTCTGTGCTGTGGTTCTGGTGTGTAGCGCCTTTAGCAGCGCAGCAGTGGCTGAAGGAAACAGCAGCAGTACTATCACAAACACAGTAACTCGCGATGTGAAGAAGAATGGTCGCCGTCGAGAAGTAAAGAGGCAGCAGTATCGTTGTTGTGTTTGTTAGTCGATTGCAAATGTCGCGTTCCTCCCCGGAACTGTATTCATAATGTGAAATATAAATTTCATAAGTGTATTCCGGAAACGAGCCAGGCCATATTTATGCACGAGAGACAAGCGTTGGAAATGTCGTTAAGTTGCCGTGGAACTCGATTGCCAAGAAATCCTGCGACCAACATCGATCCAACATTATTACCTACATGCACTTAATACTACCGTGCTTTCAATGACCACCAAAGAAATGATAGAATGATGTTTAAACGACTCCTACCTATAAACATATTAAGGGCTATCGTCATCATTGAAACGGCAAATAAATGCAATTACGTCCCTAGACCAAAGATGGAACTTAGAGACAGTATGGTTTGGCATTCCATCGCTACACATTGGTCAAGATGTTTTCTTCAATGGTAGTAACGGTCGAGTAGTTCTAGTGGAAGCACAGGCATTTAACAGAGAGAGAAATAATCCTGCAAATGGAAACCATCTACTGCTCGCCAGTGTTCAGGTATCGATAATTCTAATGCGCTGCAGTAACTGTAAGGGTTGGCGGAATAACGACGACGCGAAAACGACTCTCCAACTCCTGAACGCCCTCTTCACCCACCCCTAGAAGAAGGTGTTCGCTGCCGGTATTGTTGTTGAAGAGTGTGCCAAGACAGCAAGCCGTCGGAAAACTCGGGGTCGATCATACAATACGACGTAATTGACCGAGTTACTGACTGCTTCCTGTGAGTGAGCTTTCTCTCCCCCCTCCCTCAAGTGCGCTGTGATTGGCCTGCTTTGCTGCGATGTGGTATGTTGATGTTCTTGGGGCAGTTATATTATCGTTATTGGCTGTGACAGCACCTATGACAACTGAAAACAATAAGCTAAAAAGTTCATGTAGGTTTATTTACTAGTAATCTAACTAGTAACTAGTTTGTAGTAGTATTATCAGGGAAAAAGAAACAGTTTTTTCGAGTACTCCGTCAGTGAAAACGATTTAAGGTAGATCAAACTGAGAACGTCGTGTTGTTGGGTGGAAACGTGTTTCCGGGAGCGTCGCTGGCGTTGCGATGTCGTTGACGAGTGGTAGTGGCTGTGATAGAAGCTCAGCCGTATCGTTACAGCAGCAGAATCGTCATGGTGCTATTTGCTCGTCGACATCAAATGCGATCTCCACGGAAGCAAGTGCAAAAAACATCGCCACCACAGATACTACAGTCATTTATGAGGAAACAGCTGTAGCACCTGAGTCATCAGCAGTAACACTGGGTTCGGCGGGTTCAAGTGCTGGCTCCGGGGCAGGCAACGGCGGCAGTGCAGGGGCAATTTCACTCCGAAACATGGCAGAGCTAGATGCAATTATGGTGCTTGAGATAGACGAAGAAGAACTTCTGCAACAGCAGGTGCCTGACGAAACGTCCTGCATCGTGCCGGAACCCGTCGTCATTCGTGGAGCTGGAAACATGACTGTGTAAGTTCATGTATTTACTGCTAAATATAATGAACGGCATAAAGATATAGCCTAAAGTAAGCGTTACGACTACTAAGCATTTGACGATAATTGAACATGATGAAAATTTGCTCCTTAACAGTGATAAATAGGACTTGACAGAATAAGCCCATCTTCGTTATATATCGGGTTCTGACTGAGATAAACTGTGTTTTTTGGGCAAACTGAAGGTGCCCAAGAAAAAAGAATGTTTTTGGGTGCATATTCGTTTTTGGAGCCCTCACCAATTGGTTCTTGAAGCTCGATGATATATAAATCAACCATAATATTTGTTTCTTAGTGCTGATAAAGTAGTTTCTCTCAGAATCGTTCTAATTGCTTGTTAGTTGTTTGATGCAGTAAACCTTAAACTAATAAAACCTAGGTTGAGTTATTCAATACGTATTTGTGGAGCCACGAGGATTATAGCCTATTAACGATTTAACAAAAGCAGGAGCTGATAAGATTATAGAGGCTTTAGTTTAATTCTAAATATGTACGATCGTTTTTAATTTGTTTTCATAGTCCATGCTCTTGTATGTGCTCTCTGTTTTATTGAAAAATCTAAAGTTGTGTAAAGCTAAATATTGATTATACAAATATTAATTGTAACAGCATCGATTTGGGTAAGTATTCTTTGCGCTGGCATTTTGACTGTTTGCCTTTTCCTTACCAATAGCCTAACAAGATGTGCCTGGCTTATATATTTCCAGGTCTGATACTTTTGTAGTGCTTTGTGAGGTAAACCACGACAGCAAGTGGTCTGGATTTTAAAGATCTTTTGTACCTCTAAGCATAGGCTACAGCGATTTGGTGTAACCATAGAGCGCAACAACTTGTTTAACAGAAGCTAGCGTTCTCCCTCGAGCTTCTTCATTGGTTTTTACTCTACTAGTTATAAATTAAACAGCTTTTTAATTCACTGTTGCTGTAGTTGAAAACACATAGTGAAGAGGCAAAATGAAGCTTCAATAAAGGGCGTATTCTTTGGTAAGATTTGATTTGTTGGGCACCTAACAGGCCCTTAGGACTGAGGTAATGAAGTAGTTATTCAAGTACAACTTTACTATTAAAAGTAAATCAAGCCTGACGATTTCTTTCACCTTAATGTAAGTGTAACTATTTTTGGCGTGTATAGGATAATGCGTTGCGTTTGGTCAATTCTGAGATGTTTTAAGTATAGAAGTACAACTCTAGTAGAAAAATTATGGTCTCTGTAGAATATACTGAATAGTTTTAGTTCAGGTGAAATTTTGCTGTTCTTTAGGGAGTAATAATTGGGTGGAACATTAATTATAGTTGCTTGGGGTATTTAGCCCGGGCCTGTTTTTTGTTTTTAGTGGAGTCAGACTAGGTACATGCTTGGAGGAGCTATTTCCAGACTAGAGCCCAATTGCATATTTTTTATAAACCTGACTTGATATATTCAGGGATACCTAGCTCTAAAAATAGGCTTCAAGAAACGAATTCGTCCGATCCAACAGCTTTTATTTACTTCTTTCATTTCTTTGGTAGTGTAAAAATGGTTCGAATATTTCGCTTCTCGCTTCGGAAATCAAATTCGAAGAGATTCGACAGAGAACAAAACCAAAAATCGCGTGTCACAATTGTTGTAACAAACTACAATATAAGGAGGCGTTGGTAATAATGGGAAATTATTGAAAATACATTCCTGATAAAAAAAAAACAAACATTATTTTTAACGGAGATTTAAAGAGCAACACATTGCATTGGAAAAAACACTCAGTCACTAAGGCCCTGTGTGGTGTCTTGTCCCACACGAGTTTGAAACTGTTGGTATTGCGATTTTTTCGCGAAGAAACCTAAATGGCCTTTAGACAAGAAAATAGGTGCCCAGAAGAGATGCTCCTGAACAAATATATTCGAAAAAAAATTTTACTTCGCCGTATTGTTATGATAGGGAACACCCTTGACAATGAATAGAGAACCATTGTTAACTTGCTATTATTAGTTTGACTCGAATGGTGGAGGGATTGGGCTGTACTTGTAATTTGCCGGGTTAATCAAGAAATCATAGTATTTTGGATAGGAACCAGTAAATGATTTTCAAATCAACGGCAAGGTGATGTGAAAGGTAGATTTCATGCTTTACGGTGTCTACCCGATCTATAATATATATAAAAGGTGAGAAAAGTTAATCTATATAGCGGTGCGACATTTTGTGACATTTTTTCTAGTTTTAAACGATACACTTGTACTTCTTGCAGTCAGAAGCCGTTGACTTGGATATGGTCATTCAAGCCTTGAACAATGTGAGTGGCAATGATCGACGGGAAATAAAAAAAATTGAGTAGTTCAAATTATAATTCATCTAGGAACCATATATGTACTCAGCATAGAAAGCTCGCCGTATATTTATTGTACTCCGTAAATATGAAAATGGTGATTTCAAGAAATTCTAAGAAGACAATTTTGAGTTTGCACATAAGTCTCGTAAGAGTCTACTCGAAGAGAAATAACGATAATTAAAGTCGATCCATTTTAAATTTTACGTGTGTTAGCCCCACTTAAGCTGTACATAAGCATACTATATTTGTTTATTTTAATCAAATTTATAAGGCAAAAAAATGGAATCAATGGATTTAAGCGAGAAAAAATTGAGGACTCTTTTTTGTGTCTCTTTAAAGTTATGTTCGCACAAAGACCCATTTTTGCATTAAATTGTAATTTATAGGGAAAGTATATCTAAGATAATTGCAGATAATCAGATCAGTGGATGGATAAAGCTGAACCAGCGAGAAATTACTTTAAAACAACAATACAGCTTCAATAATTTTTAGTACATATTCGGTGGCCTACTGCAGGTAGACACTACAGCTCCTTGGATCCTGTTTTGTTAATCAGGGCTCGGGTGTATTTTTAAAAATTACAGGAGATTATCAACAAACTATGTGTCCAAGCGCTAATATTTTCAGGAGTGTTAAACCAAACACAACAAGCCTCATTTTACATCGGAAGAATTACAGAGCAAAAATTCAATACCTGGAAGTCCCACTGTCATTTTCATTAGGAATTGCTCTGAAAGATTACACTTTTTATTACAGTCTCGGTAACTTCTGAATAAGAAAATCGTTCTAGTCCCAATATGATGTCGGACTTATTTTGAGCTTTTTTAGACCCTTGTGCGATAAACTTCTAAAACACCGAAATACATAAGTTTCCATCCAAATGGCAGAACGTCGTAGGTAATAAGAGTGCTTTCTTTGATAAAAAATAAAATAATTATGGTTGTTATAGTATACCTCCTTGCATTTCACATCGCCCTACGTAATATATATTAACAAAGGACTTAAGAGTACCATATGAATTTAAATAGCTTCGAAATTAACGGAACTACTGTGCTATGTAGCGTGCAGATGTAGCAGGGCTTGCATTAGTCGTAGATAGGTACGTCAGCCAGTATGACGTTACTCTATTCGGTTCTGTGAACCAATAATACGTCGCAATGTTCTGTTTATCAATTTTAGAAACAAAATGTTGTTGGAAAGTTGAAAGAGAATCATACTTATCGATCTATATCCTATTACTATTCACTGATTGTTTGTGCATAGTTGTATACAAATTATTTCAAGTGAATGCCTGTCTTCGAACGTTAGTAAGTCATCCGTTCACCCGTCTGTGTGCAATATTAGGTCTTTGAGCGCTCCATAAAATACAACGGTGGAGTATGAACCTTAAATGGGGACGTTTGTCTCAATGCAATAAAGTAGCATTCTGGCTCGGACTGCATGTTGATGAGACTGGCCGTTAGGTATAAATTAACCTTAAAATAACCTGCAACAGGATTGAAAATATTGCTTTATTTTATTGGAAAGGAGCTGCGCTAACTTAGACAGGTCATTGTGTAGGGTTTTATTTATCGAAACGTTTACGGAATTGGTATTGAAATTAAAAGCGATAAATATGTGATAAATTATTTTTTAGTTGAAAATGATCCTCCGGAGAAAACTAAGTTAGAGGCTGCAATTATGTATACGTACTTCGACGTGGCGACAGTAATTAAAAGGTTCAGAAAAATATATAACAATAGTCAAAGGACTGGTTTTAGTTATTTTGCACGAAAACTAATTGCATTAAATAAGCTAAATTCGGAATGTTTACTTTCATTTGCAGGTTCGGTTTGAGTAACAAATTTGACACGGAGTTTCCATCCCAGCTATCAGCCAAAGTGGGTCTCATTTTTTTATTATTTGCTTAGTTCTAACGTTCCCACGGGAAATCAGAGTTCTGCATCCCCACTACACAAATTACATAAATAACTGACACTAAGTATTAGAGTGCTTATATCAGAAAATCAATTTTGCCATCAGGTCGTTAGATTTACTGCCCTCTACCATTTAAATGGTATGATTACGAACCGGGACTAAATTTACTGGCGTCCTATTGTTCAATATTAACATTTTTGCGATATACACTGTTCTACATTCCAGGTTGCCCCAGAAGAGTTCAAGGCGACTTTATCGAGGGTGAATTCGATTCTTCGTAAAACTCTTCCGGTAAGTTCGGCTACCGCCAAATAAAACACAAATGAGCTGCTGTGCTTCGATACTCTATTGAATGCATAGAAAAAGTCGAATCATATAAAACGCAAGGCGTAGGTTAGTAAGCGATATTGTTCATGGCTAAAGCTGAATATTTTAATCATATAACTCCTAATGAAAAATGTATTTCTTCCTTTTCCAAAGTAGACTAGTATATGAACTTTTCCATAGATTCGTCTTTGCCATATGTTTCGTATTATCTGAGTTTATAGCTCGAACAGATCTGTGGCTAATGTCAAATACAGCACACACGACAGAATGACTCATCTGCTCATAGTGTTTTTTCTGCGCTGCACTTCACAGGTGAGTGTGAAATGGTTATTCTGTGGTTGTCTCTGTTGTTGTTGTACGTTGGGCTGTTCATTGTGGCCAGTGGTATGCCTATCGAAGAGAACACGGCACTGCATAGAAAAATTGCTCGACTGGGAAAACTCCCATCTCTACAACAAACTCGGCCTGCGATGGAGGCTCGCCAAACAACGCTGTGATAGTTCCTCCATGCTAGAATATGTACGTGTCTGTGTAGGCTATCTAATATTTCATAGGTAGGCAGCATTATTAGGTTGACACTTTTACCTTTTTCAGCGCCCAAATCAGCCGAACATATCTATGCTGTATCCTAAAATACAACAATAACCTGTTGTGGTAGGGACTGAATCCGTTTGTCGTGGAACACGTTAGCAAGTGGCCTTGCAAGATTGCCATTTCCTTGTTTCGAATAACTGAGACGTCACCACCAGTATGTGCGCAATCGGCAGCCTAAAGGACAAAGTACTCATCTTATAGTGTAGGGTTCATTATTTATTATAAAACCGATAGGGGGCGTGTATATCCACTCTTCTTTGTGATCATTTGCCCGTCTTTTGAAATTCCGCATCGAAGGCTACCTAAATAAATGTGTTGGTATTGTGTTTCTGTAAATTTCATAATTAGAATTAAACACCAGGGTATATCCTTTAGCCTTAGTCTTCACTAAACTTCTAATGATAGTATGTATTATTTTTGCTTTGACAGGTTCTTTTAATAGAATTTATTCCCAAGCTGATGATACATAAACCGGACTGAATAAGTCTCACGGGGCTGATACACTGATTGCAGTAAGTTCTCTTTTGATCGCTTCTCATACAGAATAGATGACGTGTCTTTGTTTACTTCATTTAGTATTTGAAGAGATATATTATTTTTGGGTATGCCGTAGTGGCTACGTTGCTGCTAGTCGTTTGGCCCTGTAGGTCTTGCGGAAACACAAACAGTCGAGAGTGAGTTGCGCATGGACAGGAGTCTGGTCTTGGTAACGATTATGAAGAAGAACACAACGATGAATCAACATACCATGTTTTGGCATTTTCGTGCAGAGTATATATTATATATTGATTGTTATTTGTTTAAGAAGAAATATGCGAACTCACCCTCTCTGACAACACTATTTTATAGAATTTCATAAGTAGTAAAAAATAGAAAATATTGTTTTATTCCGGAAGATTCAGTGTCATACAGTTTTAAATATATATATATATATATAAACATATAATGTAATGCCAAATGTTTGCGTTCATTTTAAGCGCTTCGTTTTTGTGTAGTATTATAGGAGACTCGGAGCGCCGAATTACGGCAGCGAATAAGTGAATGATGATAGATCATGGAGTATCTGTCTTTTCTTCATCTCATTCATTGGGGTGGAGGATGATGTATTTGAAATTGTGAAGTATCTACATATACTCAGTGTCAATCACTTCAACTTCGTCTTCAGTCGCAGAAAGTCCACCCCCGTACAAGTCGAATGAAACACAAGGTGCTAGTAAACAGCCTTTTTCTCACATAGCTTAAATTCGTCTTTATGGCTACACGACACTAAATCAATAATTTATCATCTACTGATACGTTTACGTTTCCATATTTCCTTCAATACAACATTATTCTATTTGCATGGTTTGTGAAGTGGCGGGGTTTGGCGAAAATTAACTAAGTCACTTTTCTTTACAGGGTCGAGTCGCGAATTTGCTGTATGATAACTGGGAATGATAATAAAAGCTAGAGGAGACAGCCAGTTAACCCGATGGTGCTCCCCAATCGTGCGAATTTGCTCCGCTGTTGGACAATTTTTCGTGAAGGACAATACGAATTAGTGGAGTCGAGTTTTATGAATGATAATTGGTTGCTTTTGCGTTTAGCAAACTAGTTGTAATTATAGTAGTATTTGAATAACAGTGATGAGACCATAAGCTTGTAATAAAAATTTACAAAAACGAACAGATAAATGCAGGGGCAACTCGACTCTAGCATACAAAAAGAAAATTATATAAACCAGTGACAAATAGTTACAGAAAATCGAACGTGATGATACGTTTAATTCGCAACGGTAATAGAAGAAATGCTCAGCAGAACAAAGCGGCAGTGGGAGATAATCATTGTGTAACGTCGATGAACGCAAAAGAATGGGGGATCGTATATTGTAGGTATTATGGGTTCGAGAGGATTGACAACGAGCTGCATGTATATGTTAAAGCAAGTAATTGAATTGTTGGAAGAAACGAAACCATGCTGTAGCAGCATAATTGTACATAGTATTTTGTAGGCCAAAAACTGTCCTGCTAATTAATGGCATAAGTCGTTTGGACTGAGCGCCTTTCGACAGATCGGTAAATGAGAAAAGATGCTAAATGCAACTATATGATTAATTATTATTCATTATTTATGTGTACGGTGATAATAAAGCAATTTTCAGGTTGACAAAGGCACCTCCTTTATATTGCTAAATGTTGAATATTATATGGAGTTATTTTTATCTATACAACTATTGCCACATTCTTGTAAACTTCTTATCACTGCAGCATAAAAATGAAAAGGCAGCAGATATAAGAGTAACATGATATTGAGATAGTTTAGTCTACCGTTGATACTAGTGACTTCAATTTACTGTTCTGCGCCTGCTTCTCGAAATATGCTGAAAGTTTGAGGTATCTCATTTAAAAGTAGGGCGTAAACAACTGCGACTAACCCCGTAACGTCCTAGGCTGAAAGGACATTACATAGGAACGAAATGAAGTGTTATGTTACTAATTAAGCGCATGAAATGCTTCATGCTAATGTTTCCAAGTCCGCTGTTTTAATTTTGAATAATAGGGATGTGGATAATCCAAAATTTATATTTAGTTAATTAGAAATCCTTTTGTAAGCTAGCATTTGGAAGAAGGGTTAATAAGTGACTTAATTGTGTGCCATTGTTAAATTGCTTCCATAATGTCATATTGCTTGAGATCTAATAGAGTTTAAAGATAGAGTTTCTAAACCACAGAAATGGTGGATAGAATGAGCCTTTAATCACTTAAAACTCCAATTCCTTTAATTTAATCATCAAAGAACTTGAACTGAGCGCCGCTTTCGTGGTAAAACATTGTGTTATTAATCACCTCAGAGTAATGCTCAGAACACCAGTTTTTGGACCCGGTAACAAATCAGCATAAGAATTCTTTGCTATGTCTCGGTGGTTGGCGTTCCGCTAACTTTTTCCATTTGACCGCAATAGCCGGTTACAGCTCTCAAGTAAGTCAGTTTCTTTAATTACATAGACCAATACGAATCTTTCAAAAAAAAACAATTCATATTTAATAAGTTAAAATTACTAAACTGAAAAATGAATCAATTTGTGGATTAAAATGAAATATTGTACGGCCCTAAGCTGTCTTCTGCCTTTCTTATTCGAAAGTTCGTATAAAATGAAAAGTACTTGAAGCTAGATAATCCTCAACGCTGCATTGTATTTCCTCTGATAGCGAATAGTTGCTAGAGATAAAGGAGACGCATAGAAAAACTCCGCTCAACTTTCATCTTGGTTGACCACTTTCATCTCTGTGACAGATTTGAAAATGCCCTACTCCAGAAAAAAATTATCGTGTCAGCTTGCAAGCAGTGATTTCCACCTTTGATCCGAATCATTTACAATAGTTCAATGGAGTAACAAATAGCATGCAGTGAAATGATATTGCTGCACAACTTTTATGGATCTCTTGATAGATTGTAAGCTCAGCAGTTATAAAACTTTTCGAAAGAAAAAAACGCTTAGTCGTTTTCTAGGTGTGAGCACACATGATATGATAGTGTGACTACCTCACCAAGTCCTTTTGCTCTGCTGCTAAAGAAATTACTACCTATGCTAGCGCCGTCTGAACGTTTGTACATTCCGACGCACTTATGCAATATCTGCAACGCAGGACGTTGCGGTACCTCGAAACTAGCACTGGATCGCTTGCAAAGTCCGCGTACAAACCTAGGTTGCACTTCTCCAAAGCGTCCACGCACTTTTTTAAGATTAGCGGCCCCACTTCATATAAACAATATAAAACTCTTGATATTACTAGATAAGATTACTTGCACAATTGAACATAGAATATTTCACAACCTTACATATTAGTTGCCAATAAAATACGAAGGTGCAGGAAAACAAATATCTAAACTATTAATTATATTCTGATAGACACTAAAAATCATCAAGAAACAATAACCCTTTCAGTCGAAAGAAAAATGACTAGCATGTCGTAACGGGCTTTCTTTGTTGTCTTTAATATTCTACAAAATTCTATATATATTCAAATATTCTATAAACAACGGGTTAATATTTAATTTACTAGCTGTGTTTAATATGAATCCGACAAAAGTCTAAAAACATTGTGTGAAATAGTTTCAAAATAACCACACTTGTGTGGTTGTGTTAGATTATGATATAAATGAAATTCTTTTTTAAAGAAAGAAACATCATCATAGAAACGAGCGCCCGAAGGGGTGTAAAGTTGTGACAGCAAGAAGTTTAGAGAAAGAATGCAATTTCATTCTAAAATACATCTGTGGTATTTCTGCAATCCTCTAATTAATGGCGCACGTTACTTGAAAGCCTCTATTTTAGTATTTTCACTTTTTCAATACTTTGATGATGTCGTTATTTAATGCGCCCATGTACAGCATAGCCACCAAGAGACGAAACACCAATGTTATGATCTAGGATGTTGCAAAATTGATTTAAATCTATAGCACGTCATTTACTAACGTTGTGAATCATAGAACAATACTAATGCTTAGAAATCTTACGGGAAGTTTATGGCTTATTTGGCTTAAATGACTGTGCACCAGTTAAATGCTGGAAAAATGGCCATTATAAAGGGTTATACTGCGATCTCTCGTCTCCAGTACCTGTTGCAGTATCCTGCAGTATCCTTTGCAGCATAACTCGGCTTCAGAGATTCCGAGATGGTACATTGTAGCTCGCCAGTGTTGCAGTACTCACTCAGAGTTTTTGCTTAGCGCGTCTGCAGCAATTGGTTCTGCGTTGCTGTCGTCTGATCCGTGTGAGAAAATTGCCATTTCTATCTTTCAATAGCCTAGCAACATAGGGTACAGAAAACATCCTATGATATTTGATGCAGTAAGTTTCTCATAATTGCAGTACAGTCGAATAAAGAGAATTTTTTTTGCATTGCTGTTAAACCTGTGTTGTTGCTGAATTTTTTTTTGCTATGTTTATTGTTAATTTAGCTACCGAGATCTCCGTGTAAGGAAAAAGATTACGGGAAGATTCGTCTTTGTAACGGGTGATTATTAAATCGTAGTTTAATTCAATTCGAAAAGGCGGCGTTTAGAAAAAACGTCAAAAACATGATTTACCGAGAAACTCTAGTGAGAGGGTCAAATTTGTTCGAGCTGTTAACATCTGCCGATTCCTAATCAACTTCGATGTCTCTATGGAAAACCTGACTCGAACCCATTTATTGGATAACCTTCCTGATTCAAAACTATACATTTGAAAACTACGAATTCAGAACTATGGATTTTTCTCATAAAGTTCATACCTTTTGAGTTTTTTATTCTTTAGTTATGCAAAGAGAAATCTACCAAATTCAATTTTAGTAAAAACCCTGCGGTGGAATTATCGTTTTACTAAGAATAAACACAAATAAAAATATATCAAAAACAACCGTTTAACCTGAGAAAGTGTCGTGAATAAAGATATATCGCATTAAATAGATTTTAGACCCTTTTTCTATAATTAAAATCATGATTATCGTTGAGATCTCGAAAACGGTAACAGCTGAAATAAATCTGAAACTGGATGTGCTGCAACCTTGCCGGAAATCTTTGGGCTTCGTTCTTTTTTCTCGACCTCATTGTTTTAGATATAAATTAAGAAAAAATAGAAAGTAATTATCCTGTATATTGCTTTAAAAATGCCCTTTGGAAAATGTTACAAGCGGGCTCCGATTGAGACGGTCACACACGGGAAAATATTACCTCTTGTTAAGCGAAAGGAGAAAAACCTTACAATTATTAATATTCCAAAATGTTGTGGTTGAACATTCTTGAACTTTGCTTAATACCTGTAGCTTTGTTTCCTTGATTAAGTTTGTATATAAAAGCGAGCGCAAAAGTTTGGATGGTTATCATGAATATTGCCATTCTAAATGCTCCATAGGTCGTTCCAAAAGCGACCTAAGACGGCTGTGGGGAGAAAAAGTAACTGATTGAAGATCTGCAACGCAACTTACACGGCTGGGAAGATTGACGACGAAATACACGTAATAGTTCTCCTCGACATCATACCTCCCATAGATTAGAAGCAATATTTTTGAACTAAATGATTACAGAATGTAGCTTTAAGTCTCGGCAACATTGTTTGTCTTTGTTACCTGTTTTTCAGGCAAGTTATTTGATTCAAAGTTTCAAATCTTCGGAGGTGTACGTCTCGAATTCAGAAGGTCATCGACGATTTAAATAGAGAGCAGTTCTCTAGTATGATGTCCTAAAAAATTTTTGTCACCACTGATTTTGCTTCTCTACCGCTCTTCTATGATTTAGATACTGCTTAGTCTTTGTTGACGATCACTTTAATACGTAGAGAATCAGCGTACAAAATGTAAACGCCAAACTCTGTAGACTGTTATACTTCCCTATACAATTGTCCTTACAAAACGTTTTTTAAAGTTTTAAAAATGTAGGTTTTTAAATTTTATAAACCTCAAAGTTGAATTTTGAGGTTGATGAAATGTATCTGGTTCGTAAAAGTTGGTGCTTGCTTTGATAACTGAGTTGATATCGATTGTACTTAGCACCGCTGTGACATAGGAATTAACTAGGATTACTTTGTCGAAAACTTAAAAAATTAAAAATTGCGATCTTGGGAATAATAAAGCAAAACCAAGACAAAGGTTTAATTAGTTGCTTATTAGGTTTAATTAACTTAAATTAAAGGTTTAATTATTAGGTTTAATTAACTTCGTAGAGTTTGATCGAGACACCGTTTTTCAATCTTTTCCGTGTATCACAAAAGTTCCGTTCGCTTTATAGCCAGACCAGTTTACCCATAGATGATGAAACACGAAGAAAGAGAAAATATTTTTAGAGGTTCACTCACGTTCCGTCTTCTGTGCTCTTTTCATCTATATATTGCCATTTGCTTCTCTGGCCCGAACCTAGATTTAACGCTCTGACACAAGGGATACGAAAAAGCGCGTGTCTTAATATCCACTCCCATGCCGGTAGAAGCATCCAATTAAGCCTTAAGTTCATCCGATTTTTCTACTACCGATACTACCGTGATAAATGTATATGCGCACTATGATAATATTTGTTCGAAAAATATTTGTTCAAAGCCTCGTAAATGTAATTGTTCCCAACATCTTGCGAGTTTCATCCAGAAGCCAAAACGACGCATCCTCATGAATAATGCTAGCGGTCGTTCGAAGAATATTCATTTGCTCTAGTTTTAA